TGGGATGCAGGAGGGGCGAATTTTGTTGTGATTATTTTAACAATTTTTTCCCCTCTTGAGTGCACATTTTGTATCATCCAGAAAATTATCCATATCAAAGTTCTCAAGTATGTGGGCTGCTTTACAATTGCTTGGGCCTACCTTATTTCTCCTTTTTCACTCAAGATATTATCCATGCCATTTCTTTATCATTCGACAAGTTTTTTCTCCCAAAGGATCGACTTCTGGTCCGTATTCCCCAGCTCCTGCATTTTCCTCTCATTTCCATCCTCCTACACAGACCCATGGGGACTATTTATATATTTATTTATTTTGAGTTGAAGTCTCACTCTGTCGCCCAGACTGGAGTGCAGTGCCTGCTCCCGGCCACCGCAGCCTCGACCTGCTGGGCTCTGGCGATCCTTCCGTCTCAGCCTTCCAAGTAGTTGGAATTACAGGCATGCGCTACCACGCCCGGCTGATTTTTTGATTTATTGTAAAGATGAGGTCTCGCTGCCCAGGCGGGTCTCGAACCCGCGGGCTCAGGCAATCCACTCACCCCAGCCTCCCAAAGGCACGGGATTACAGGCTGAGCCACCGAGCCCGGTTTATTTATTTTTTTGACTTGGAGTCTCACTCTGTACCCCAGGCTGAAGTGCAGTGGCACACTCACAGCCACTGCAGCCTTGACCTGTTGAGCTCAGGTAATCCTTCCACCTCAGCCTTCCAAGTAGCTGGAACTACAGGCATGCACCACCATGCCCAGCTAATTTTTCTTGATTTATTGTAGAGACAAGGGCTCGCCAAGATGCCCAGGCTGATCTTGAGCCCCTGGGCTCAGGCAATCCTCTTACCTCCTCCTCCCAAAGTGCTGAGATGACAGGCGTGAGCCACTGTGCCTGGGTGGGGATTATTTAAATCTTTCTTGCCTGGTACAGTGGCTCACGCCTGTCATCCCAGCACTTTGGGAGACCAAGGCAGGAGGATTGCTTGAGCCCAGGAGTTTGAGACTAACCTGGGCAGCATATTGAGACCTCATCCCTAAAAAGAATTAAAAAAAAAAAAAAAAGACTGAAGCCGGGCTCGGTGGCTCAGCCTGTAATCCCATGCCTTTGATTTTTTGATTTATTGTAGAGACCTCATCTCTACAATAAGCCAAAATGAGCCGGGCATGGTAGTGTGTGCCTGTAGTTCCAGCTACTTGGAAGGCGGAGGTGGAAGGATCACAGGAGCCCAGCAGGTCGAGGCTGCGGTGGCCGGGAGCGACCACTGCACTCCAGTCTGGGTGACAGAGTGAGACTCCAACTCAAAAAAAAAAAAAAAAAAAGATTGGCCATGCATGGTCGTGTGAGCCTGTAGTGGAGGCTGAGGCTGAAGGATCACCTGAGCCCAAGAGGTCAAGGCTGTGGTGAGCCGTATTAATGTCACTGCAGTTCAGTCTGGGTGAGTGAGATCCTGACTTATATAAACAAATAAGTTTTCCACGTAGCTGGTAATGGGTTCGAACTGGAATGAGAACCATGGTTCCTGTTTATCCTTTCTGTGGGCTGGCCCAGCACACCTTCTGCCTTCAGCATCTCTGTGAGAGGGGAAAGGAAAGGACAAGTCTTTCTTTGTGCTCCCCAATCTCCTAGAGGCACATTTCCAGCGATGACAAGAACCTTACCCTGATCCAGCAGGGGCACTAGAGTAGGTCTGTGTTTCTGAGCAGGGAAATCATTCAGCCAAAGAAGGCACCTCATCTCACCTTTGAGGCCCCCTACCAAGTGATTGTTTTTTTACCTACGTTCCTTCACTTGTCCCGGGAAGCAGAATTGCTGGGTACCCTGGTCCCCCAGTGGGTGCCAGGTGTATGAGGGTATAGTCTGCTTCTTTCTCACTGTAGTGAATGCTCATGATTTTATATGGCCTCAGCATTCACTTTTTTTTGGTTTGTTTGTTTTGAGTTGGAGTCTCACTCTGTCGCCCAGACTGGAGTGCAGTGGCCGCTCCCGGCCACCGCAGCCTCGACCTGCTGGGCTCCGGCGATCCTTCTACCTCAGTCTTCCGAGTAGCTGGAATTACAGGCATGTGCTACCACACCCGGTTGATTTTTTGATTTATTATAGAGATGAGGTCTCGCTGCCCAGGCGGGTCTCGAACCTGCGGGCTCAGGCAATCCACTCACCTCAGCCAGCATTCACTTTTCATATATGAAGGGAGAACTACCCCCCCAAAATGTTATCTTCTGGAGGGTGGGCCCCTTGTAGTACAGGCTTCCCCTGCTAGCTAAGTGTCCTAGGAACCTATCAGCATCAGTGTACCAGCTGGTATTGTTGTGAGAGGATGCGTTCAGCTTCAGTGAATTTTTTTTGGAGATTCTTTCAATGTGTTTGCCCATTTCATGACGGGTGATGATCTATGAGTGTGCCTGCCCATATTGCACTGAGTGTTCAGCAGTTTTTGACCCAAAATGGCATAACTTCCATGCCCCACCCTCCCTATTCACTTGATCTCACCCCGAGTGACTTTTTGTCTCCCCAGATGAAAAAAGTCCTCCAAGCCCAGTGCAGTGGCTCATGCCTGTAATCCCAGCACTTTGGGAGGCTGAGGTGAGAGGATTGTCTGAGCCCAGCATTCAAGACCAGCCTGGGCAACTTGGTGAGACTTCCTCTCCATAATAATAAATTAAAAAAAAAATTATCTGGGTGTGGTGGTGTGTGCCTATAGTTCCAGCTACTTGGAAGGTGGAGGTGGAAGGATCGCCTGAGCCCAGCAGGTTGAGGCTGCAGTGGATGTAAGTGTGCCATTATACTCCAGCCTGGGTGACAATGAGACTCCAATTAAAAAAAAACAAAGGAAACATTTTTTTTTTTTGAGTTGGAGTCTCACTCTGTCGCCCAGACTGGAGTGCAGTGGCCGCTCCCGGCCACCGCAGCCTTGACCTGCTTGGCTCCGGTGATCCTTCCGCCTCAGCCTTCCAAGTAGCTGGAACTACAGGCGCGCGCTACCATGCCCGGCTGATTTTTTGATTGATTGTGGAGATGAGGTCTCGCCAAGTG